TACAGATATACATATACATACATTCAGATATATTATGCAGAGCGTAAATATTGAAAATATTGAAAATGTAGAACTTGTAGAACTGGGTATTATCACTCTACAGACTGTTTCATGCTAATGCAATCTTCAGGAGTGAGAGAATACAAGGATTGTGCGAGTATTATGAATGCTAAGACAGGTGAAAATGCAAATGATTTAATTGTTTTTAAGTAGGTATTTGTTGCTGTGCCTGCATTTAGACAATAGCTCGGTTCTTTTGTTTAGTGTTGACTGTTTTCTGAATATATTATGTGAAGTTTCTCGGTTATGCACAGGTTGCAGCGTTTTGTTTTTGGGGGAGTAAGCCGATGCTCTGTCGATGAAAGACCATTTAATGTTGTAGGGTGTGTTGCTATCTTTTAATTTCCATACGTATTTGGAGAGTACGGTGCTGTTTCTGTGTTTGGGGGTGTTAAAAGTGTATTTGTGGTTTGTGTATCGGGTTTTGAACGGTGTGTCAGTGAGCCCGATGTAGCATTTTTTGTCATCATTTGAGTAGACAGTGGCTTTGTAGATGGTGGATGAGGTGAGGCAATTTCCAGAGAGTGGACATTCATCTTTTTTCCTGCAATTGCAGAGAGTTTTTGGCTGTTGTTGCTTAGCAACCAGAAGCTGTTTGTTGTGGGCTTTGATTATACTGCCCATGTTTCTTGAGCAGCTATAGCTGACTTTGACATTGTTCTTGTTAAAGAGCTTATGTTAAAATGTTGCCACTCAGGAAATGCTTTTTGACCAGGTTAAGGAATGATTTTCCGATGTTGGTTTTCACTCCTTTGTTGAATGGTGGGTTGTACCAGATTATTTGTCTGCTTCTATTTTTCTTTGAAGATTTTGGTTGTGGAGTCTGGTATTCCATTTTGTGCTGGAATCCGCTGTTTTGTAGAGCTTGTTCGTAGTCAGGGGCGGCCTGATGGAATGATTCACTGGAATCAGATATATTGGATATGCGTCTGTTAATAGATGCGGGAATTTGTTTCAGGATAAATGGGGGATGGTTGGATTTGCTGTTGATGTAGAGTAGCTGGTTGTTTGGTTTGCTGTAAGGCTTGAAGGACCCATTTTGTAGGCTGAGTGTGACATCGAGGAAGTTGGTGGTGTGGATGTTTGCCTGTATGGTGATGCGGAGGTCGAACGCGTGGAAGATAGATATAATATTTTTCCTCATTTTATCGCATTGTCTTGGTGATGAACTGTTCATGACGGCGAGGCCATCATCTCGGTAGAGACTGACTTTGGTTTTGCCGAGTATTGGGATGAGGGAGGAGAGGACGAAGGATCTGACAAGTTGGCATATTTCGGCCCCGTCAAAGCTTCTCATTGTAACGTCAAACATGTCATCCGAGTTTTTCTTGGTCCATGTTGAATCGTTACCAAACAATATTGATTTTCGGGAGTGCATGATGATATTTGCTTCGTGTTCGGAGATGCTGGTGTACTTTCGTGCGTACTGGATCGCATCTGTTAACAATTTTTTTGTGATGGATAGGTAGAATTCCACGATGTCAAAGGAGATGAATGTGCTGCTTGATTTGTGACATTCAGTGCGGTGTTTTTCCATTGGTTCATTTGGGTTTTTGTGAGCAGGTCACGGTTTACCCGGTCGAGGATGGTCTTGCTTATGAGTCCGGTTTCTGATTTTAATGGGTTTATGAGTCTGCAGCTTGGTTTATTTAGGAAGTTTTCTTTATGATCTTTGAGTGTTATAAAAGCCTCTTTTTCAGCAATGGTTTCCATTCGGTCCTCGAATTTAAGTTTTGTAGCAATTGCTTTGGCTACGTTGTTGATTTCGTGGGTGCTTCCTTCTTTTGCTTTCTCATATGACGAGGTGATGTTTTCATGCATGAGTTTGTCATACTCTTCTTTAGTTACTTTGTAGAAGTTTGGTTAGGAAAGCGCATTTCGTGTGGCGGAATTCCACGTCTTCGACCATTTTTAAGACATCGTCTTCGAAGAGCTTCATTTCGTCAAGCTGAGGTGGGTATTTTGAAGTCTTGAAACCATAGGTTTCATTTCTTTCTTCAGGCTCAGCGGTTTTTATATATATATCTGATTCCAGTGAATCATTCCATCAGGCCGCCCCTGACTACGAACAAGCTGTACAAAACAGCGGATTCCAGCACAAAATGGAATAATACCAGCCTCCACAACCAAAATCTTCAAAGAAAAATAGAAGCAGACAAATAATCTGGTACAACCCACCAGAACCGAGCTATTGTCTAAATACAGGCACAGCAACAAATACCTACTTAAAAACAATTAACTCATTTGCATTTTCACCTGTCTTAACATTCATAATACTCGCACAATCCTTGTATTCTCTCACTCCTGAAGATTCCATTAGCATGAAACAGTCTGTAGAGTGATAATACCCAGTTCGACAAGTTCTACATTTTCAATATTTTCAATATATATATATATACAGTACCATCCAGATATTACCTACTCTTGCCTGCGTTATTTCCGCGGAAAATAATCGTGGAAAATTCGAGCGCCCGTATTCAGCGAGTGGTCCATTACGTAATTGTTTAGCATCTACTTCCTGTTAAAAGTCGGAACTCGCGGTATAAGGATACGAAAAGATATATATATATAAGATATATATATATATAAGATACATAAGATTTAACTTGAAATAACATAAGCAATGTGCAGGGAACTACTGTAACTTTTTTTCTCATACATATTTTTATTTTACACATACACACCCACATATATATAATGTTTATTGATTGTATCATTAGGGCTAGTAACTGTAGTTTAAATTTACCGACTGTTTATTACTGTTAATTTATTCATATTTTCCTTTGTTGTACTGTGTACTGATGGTACCTTATGATCAGCTTCAGCTGGATGGACTGGACCACCCTCATAAAATTTGTTAAAATTAAATAAATAAAAATGTTATTAGCAACTATCTTTAAAAACTAGTATATATATCCGTGTACTCTAGAGCCAGGGAACAGTGAAATTCACTGTTCCCTGTATAGAGCCCATGTAGCTAGGTTTTCCCTTAATCTTCCACGTGCACAAACCCTCGAAGCCTCTGCTATCAACAAAAGCCCATACTGTACATCATGACCTTAAACTCTTATATAGGGTGATGTATGCAAATTGAGGCTTCAGCGATGGCCATCACTGTGATTGTAAAGCAACTTGTAGCCTACATTTCCTGTAAAATCTGAGCTAGGCCTAAGCCTACACACACGTACCCAGCCAGCCTATAATTGGTTCGTCTTCGTGTAGGCCAGCCTGTATTACAGTACATTGACACGAAATGTACATTGCTTTTCTCTCAGAGAGAGAGACCACCCACCATTGCAAGCACCACAAAACAGCTGATTTTTTGCTACCAACTAGACTCGTGCAGACGCATTTATTAGCCGCAAAGCTTACCATTCCAGGCCGTGATTGGTTGATAAACACAATATGGAATATAAGGCAATCTGCAATCTGATCATTGGCGAACACGCTTTCATAGGAAACTCACCTTAGTGTTAAGAGATATGATATAAAAACATACTTTTTCACATATTTCCCGACAATATTTTCGCAAAAACTCTTCATACTTTAAATTCCCCTGCCCTTATCTTCCATATTATTGCAAAATCGGCCTAATCGCGTCACAAACGAAGGAAGAGATAGAAAAACAAATGACTTCAAAATTCGCTCAGAATCATCATATAAGCCCTCTCTCAGAGTGGGCTAAAAATTACCACTTAATGACCTTTAACCCCTTATCCCTGAACACCCTATATACTCCGCCTTTAACCAATGTATATGTGCAAAGGACAAGACTGCTACGTTATTTGTGAGACAAGTAGTATTTTATAAGATTTTTGTTTTTTGACCCTAATGCCCCTTATGTGACCTTTGACCCCCAAGTTGTAAACACATAAATGAGAGATGGCACCGGTCCTACTGACCAAGTTTTAATTAAATCGGTCTAGTAGTTAAAATGTTGCCAGAGAGAAACAACTAGAGATAGTATGTTCAATAGAACATGAACGTCGAACCCAGTCAATTTTTAAGAGATAACCGCTGTGACTTTTAACCTCAACCTGTGAACACCCCATGTTTGGCAGGAGTCTGTCTAATGCAATTGGTCCAATCGTTATTCACTAGCAATATTTGTTAATTTTCACTGATATAGTGACCCTTGTGATATTTTACCTATAGTTTAAATAGCTCAATTGGGCTATTTTGAAAATTTGACTCCGATGACCCCTTTGTAACGACTGATACCAGACAGGGGTGTAGGAGGTGTAAATAAAACTGGTTATTAATGATTAAATTTGATTGAATTCGGTTCAATCGTTGCCATTAGTAACATTTTGAACCTTTGACATTTGAACTTTGACATGGGATTAGTAGCATTTTGAAATGTTACTAGAGAGAACAAAAGAATAACCCTTTAATGACCTTTGACCGTAAATCGCTGAACACCATAAAGACCCTACCTTATGCCAATACATATGTGCCCATGACAAGACTGTGCTATGTTATTTGTGACAGAAGAAGTCTTTTATTCATTTTTTGGAAGTTTTTAACCCTAATGACCCCTATGTGACCTTTGACCCCAAGCAGTGAACACCTCACCTATGAGAGGTGTCACCGATTATACTGAACAGGTTTGGTTGAAATCGGCACAACCGTTTGGCACTAGTAGCATTTTGAAATGTTGCCAGAAAAAAAAAAATTAACCCCCTATTAATTACCTTTGATCCCTGATCCCTTATCCCTGAACACCCTATAGACTCTGCCTGTACATACACTCATCGCTACTGACTGATTTAAATGTGTGGTTTAATACACATAAAAGCTACATTTATTTCCTGTAGTATCTGATTTAGACTAGGGCCTATGCCTACACACACGTACATACCCAGCCAGCCTATTCGTCTTCGTCAGGCCAGCCTGCATTACAGTACATTGACACGAAATGTGCTGCACACATACACTCATCGCTACTAACTAATTTGAATATTATGTGGTTTAATACACATAAAAGCAACTTGTAAGTTTGGTTCACGTCGAACTTTTATCTAGATATATATCCACTTAACTAGTTAAAAGTTCGACGTGAACCACTCAATTATAGCTAGATAAAGGAATTAAGTCACTTAAGTTAAGTGACTAAACTTTACTAGAATAACGGTAAATTAACTTGCTTAACGGTAAAGTCGGCTCGGATTACAAGGACACGATTACGTAACATAGGCATTTAAAGCCAGCGTTGTTGTATTGTACCACCATTATCATCTTCTGGCTGGCAACAACGTACTTTAACAATGCTAACAACAGCATCGAAGTAGTCTCATTAGTCTGGTTTTCAGAAATTATTTGTAATACTATGAGTAAAAACCCAGCAAACGTCCGTTTTACGAATAGTCGATATTACCAATGACCTTTGCATCATCGACCAAGTAATAACGTTAAAAAGTCCGATTGCGTACGTTTTTCCAATAAATAAAATCAGATTTATTGTATTTATTTATTGACAATTCGATCTTTTCCATTTCTGCTATAAATTCAGTTTACCACCAACGCCAGTCGTTAAAATGAGCGCACATGTTCACGATGACGAAATAAAAAAGGTGTGGAAGTAGCAACTTAGTTGACACTGCGAAGCTAGATTTTCGCGAAGTGCATCTAAACAACACAATTAAGCGATCGAAAAACTACAAAACAGGACAGAAAGTTCCATAAAGTATACAGACGTTTTAATGAAGATTAAAACAATATTTTGTTAAATGGAAGAATGCTAGCTAGCGATTAAAATAATTCGTTTTTTATCGAAGGTAAATTTAGCTAGGGCCTAGAGAATCTACAACCTAGATTGCGATAGAACACGCTGCTGCACTGTCGTTGGTTCGTACTGGTCGGCTAGGTTAGGTAGTGGAAACTCGCACCTTCTCTACAGTAGTTTACCATTTTTTTGAACAAATACCACTTGGTACTAGAGGTTTGTAAAATAAAGTAGGTGTTTTATTAAACAACCCCTCCTACCGTGTGACGTCGACGGCCTGAAACTGGCTGGCTGTTTATCTGGCTCTAACTTGGCATCAAACGCAATTAGGGGATTATCGTATCATGTTTCAAGACAGGTATATCTAGATAAAGTTCGACGTGAACCAGGCTATTGCCTACATTTCCTGTTATCTGATCTATTACACACACGTACTACCCAGCCAACCTAGGCCTAGTTCGTCTTCCTCAGAATCATCATATAAGCCCTCTCTCTCAGAGAGTGTGCTAAAAATGAAGGTATAGCAATACTTTATGCAATATATAATACTATATGTACTACTGTATAATAATATTGTTCTCTGTTTTTTAAGTCTATATTGTACAATGTTAATACTGTAAATTAAAATTTGCATATTATACTTTAATGACTTAATTAATTTTTATAACAAGTGGAGACAGCAATACCAGTGTATATAATACATGCAATATGATATATTAAATGTGATCAAAATGAAATGTATGAACCTTTAACATCAATATTGCATAAAAAAATGGCGATACAGTACCAAGTTTGCCATTTTCTTAATTTGGTGTGTGGTAGCACAATGTACGTACGCCATAATACTATTTCTTCATTTTCCCAAAAAACGATCTTCCTATCCAAAAAATACACAGATGATGTTTAATAACTAGGGGAAGAACAATAAAAGGGATTGCCAGCACTATTATTATTATTATTATTATTATTATTACAATGATCAATTGACGCAAAAAAATGCATAACATGAAAAACAAATGCCACACCGAGAAAAACAGAACACCGGACCATTGTACTGTACATGTAGCCAGCAATACTAATTTTCATTTAAACCCACAAAAACAAACTTAGGCAAGAATTGAAACATATAACCCATCTCTTCAAAGTCGAAAAGTGCCATTTCCAGGAATGTAGTTGCCATATTCGTAAGTTTTTCGCAGCTCTGCCTCTGGAAAATATAACATAGCATGGAATTTTGAGACAACCTATTATTAATATTCATCTCACACAGTTCAGTTTAGAAGGCCACATCTGCTGCTGGGAGGAGCCAGATTAGAATAGAGAGAGGCCTATCACGCCCGGCAACCTTGACCAGATCTAGCTGTCCATTTTTAGGTAGGCCCTAGTTAGTAGCCTAGGCATAGCTGATGAAAAAGAAAAAAATATATGGAATCGGCCTGGATCGGCTATGCATGGTAGTAGGCCTTATCTTAGGCAGGCCTATGCTAGATAAGGCTTAGGCCTAAACATTCGAATCGAGGCGGGCCCAGGCTTAACTTGAGCTAAAAAACAGTAAAAATATGGGAAATTTGAATCATAATTATGAAAAATATTATTTTTAATTTTGTAACCATAGAATCACTCAATTTCAACAATAAATATAAGTATATACATACCTTTTGAACTTTTCGTTCACTGTGGACGGTAAAACATCAATTTTCCAGCCGTCCTCGGCTTGACGACGAAGGTTCAAATAGCTCACGCGTGCGCAGTATCACTAGTGGGCGGGGCTTAGTTGTACCAACCGTCGTCGTCCCTCTACCGCCCTATTTCGTAAATACTCTTATGTGCAAAGGACAAGACTGTGCTACGTTATTTGTGAGACAAGCAGTCTTTTATACGATTTTTGGTTTTTTGACCCTATGCCCCTTATGTGACCTTTGACCCCAAGTTGTGAACAACACATAAATGGGAGGTGGTACCAGTCCTACTGACCAAGTTTTAATAAAAATCGGTCCAGTAGTTTTCCAATAGTAGCCTTTTAAAATGTAGCCAGAAAGAAAGGAAGAAAGAAGAAACTGCTCGGAAACAGAACCCAGTCAGCATGCTGCTGACTGGGTAACTAGAGATACTATGTTCAATAGAACATGAACCCAGTCATTTTTTAAGAGATAACCACTGTGACCCCATGTTTGGTAGGAGTCTGTGTAATGCAATTGGTCTAATCATTAGTCACTAGCAATATTTGATAATTTTCACCATAGTGACCCTTGTGACTTTTGACCTATAGGTGAAGAGTAGTTTTCATGTTTAGAATGTCCTAAGGATCAATCCTGGTATTAAAATTCGAGCTTAATTGGGCTATTTTGAAAATTTGAACCCGATGACCCCTATGTAACCACTGATGCCAGACAGGGGTGTAGGAGGTGTCACCGGTTCTTAATGATCAAATTTGATTGAATTCGGTTCAATTGTTTGCAATTAGTAACATTTTGAACCTTTGACCTATGAACTTTGACATATGGGTGAAGAGTATATTTTCGTGTTTAGAAGGTATACGATTTTTGGTTTTTTGACCCTAATGCCCCTTATGTGACCTTTGACCCCAAGTTGTGAACACACATAAATGGGAGGTGGCCCGGTCCTACTGACCAAGTTTTACTAAAATCAGTCCAGTAGTTTGCCACTAGTAGCCTTTTAAAATGTTGCCAGAAAGAAAGAAAGAAAGAAGAAACTGCTCGGAAACAGAACCCAGTCAGCATGCTGGCAACACATATACACCAAACAAGTTAATATTTCCTACTCACTTTGGCCCTGCAGACATAATAGGACATTTTTCTGGTGTGCAAAACTCTGTTATCGTCCCATATAACATGTTGATTTGATTGAAGAAGTCCACAGCTAGAAAGAAATTGAAACATGCAAAATGACTATATTATTAATTGCATTCCACAAATGGGACTTGATCCTTGTAGTACTGGAGCTCCAAAAATTTGGTATTGGGTGTCCGAAGGAAAGGGGGCGGGGTCCTCTAAACCAAATGCTCTCCTGAACCCCTGCTGGGGCCACGGCTGTGTTAGGTAAAAAAAAAACTCTGAACTATCAAATTTGAAACACAAATGCATGAGACATGCCCATAATTGGTTGTATTGTAATGACATCATCATGAACATACCGATATACATAGGTACATCACAAATAATTTGTAAATAAATGTTATTATAAGTCAATCGTGACGTCATCACCGTAACTCCCAATGTTATTTGCCTATTCCCCACCGTCCACTAATTTTTCAATTAGTGGACGCTCAGCTTAAATTTTTTTAGGTTCGTTCGCAAAAAAAAAAATCCTCATTTTTTAGTCACCGCGCACCACGATAAGAATTGAATTGTAATTGAAAATTACTTCCATAAAACAAACTTAATTAGAACCCAAAGAAAGTTACTTCAAATTCAATATTAAATATCAACAATTAAGAAATTCATTGAATCAATGGACCCTCATAAACACAACAAACTGAACGTTTAATAGGAATATTCTAGACCTATTTTTATCAAGGGACAATTAGATGTAGGCCTACAGCCAGACAGGAGGCCGCCCAGGCCTCCTACTACTACTACTACTAGGCCGTAGCCCCGGCCGTAGCCTAGCCCAGTTATGAAATCATCGCATGATTTTACCTGTCTGCATGCACCAACCAAAAAGGACGTCTGACTGTATTCTCTCTCGAATGCTGAAATGGTTATTTCTTTGACGAAAGTCTATCAAAATAGCATTACAAACAAGTTCTTTAAATTACAATAGTTATTCATCGTATCCGTACTGTACTGTACTGCTATGTGTAGTTAATTAAACGTGTACTGCAGGAGCAAAAATCAGCATACGCACAGCTAAATGTAAATACGCACACGTATACTGATCATATCACTATAGCAACCGATGACTGCTACAACAGTTGGTTATAAAAAACTAAAATTAAAAGACGGCGATTGACTTATAAAGCAATTAGTAGAGCATGCATCGTACACTAAAATGAAAATTATTATACTTAATAAATTAGATTAATAATGCATTCAAAAATTTCCTTCGGCCCTTTCAGGTCCTCAGCAAATTTTTTCAAGCACTAAATCTAACCTTCGTATAATAATTTTCCTATAGTGTACTATGAGGAGCTCTACTAATTGTTTAATAGTATGGACAAAACTTAGGTCCACCATTATGTTGACGTCATAGCCTACACACAAGAACTCCTTTCCTCTGACAGATCAGATTCTGTAGGGAATTGACATTTAGAATTTTAATTTTAATCATCATTGATTGGAAATGTCATGGTACATATGTGTTTACTAAACTTGCATTAAACATTAACTATAAGTATTATATGTGGCAAAGACAAGCCAAACCAGTCACTCATCGCAAAAATCGATTTTGTGTTATTAATAGTGTTAGAGATTAAAATAATAGCTATAAAATAGTAAAAAAAATCATTCAAGTCGGACATTTCCTTATGAAGTTACAAGCGTATAACCACAAAGCTGTTTAAATAACAATATATGAGAAATCAGCCTTTAAAGTTTATGATCTCAGGCATTTCTCATGCAAAAACTATCTTTACATCCTTGGAAAATGGGGAAAATAACAGCAGGTGTGTAGATATATAAAGGTTAGTTTAGTGCAATAAAATAGATTTTTTAAAATTTGACATTTTAGCATGTTTTGGCCATTTTCTCTGAAACACGATTTGCAACGAGTGACTGGTTTGGCTTGTCTTTGCCACATATGTATGTTAATTGAGCCATATACTGTAAAATACAAACATATCTTATTGTTAGACTAGAGTTAATGGTATGAAAGTACCTATTTATTAAAATTAATACATGAGTGTAGAATAAATTACAAGATGAAACATAAAAAATACAAAACACAACAAATACAAATTCAATATCTGCTGATTTTTCAACAGTAATGTTTTAGGTTTTATGCTTGAATAAAATATATTATTGCATAAACACAAAAAAATTAAATACATTACTTCCTATGTACTTATATAAAGATATGGTGTCTATAGTAGCAAAAAACCATGTTTTGTATACATTTAGGCTACATAATCAAACCAGTGGCGTAAATACTGTAGGTTATGAGGGGCCCTGGTTCAAGACGGGCCCCTTGACGCATGCAAATTGATTAACCGTGTGAACTATTGTGTTAGTTTTGGAGCATGGGTCCTTCTAATTTTTATATTGACAATACAAGTAAATCTTTGGATTTGGATATTATTGGCTGAACTGACCATAATAATAAGCATTTCTACTTCTTATGACCAAAGGAAAAGCATTTGATATTTTAATATTGAATTGGTGCTTTTATCAGATTAACCAATGAACAATGTCAACAATTATCTTGTATATTAGTTTTCTTAAAAGCTAAATAAAATGAAATGGATCACAACTGATATTGTTAGATTATGTGCAGTATACCGTAATCGCGCGAATAAGCGCCCGGGCGCTTAAAATATTTGTTGCACTTTCTGAGGGCACTTATTCCAACGGGGCGCTTATGAAAACAGAGTGGAAATTGAGGGGGCGCTAATGAGAATAGATGAAAATCGAGGGGTTCTTATGGGAAATTATTAAATTCAAGAGGCACTTTTGAATGAAAAAAAGATTATATAAGGACATTACAAATGGTGGTTAGGCTGAAAAGATAATCGTCCAGAGAACATGGCTCATGACACATATCCGACAAACACCTTAAATAATCATTCACTTAGAAACAACTGCACAAGTAAAAATTGAAAATATTATTTATATACCAGATTATTTTTCATCAGATGAAAACAGATATAAACATGATCCCAAACATTTGTGGGATGAAAAGAATAAACAAAAAATGAAACAATATTCATCCAAATCTTTTAATTGTGAAAATGTTAGCGATTATTTTAGTATTAAAAAATATAAGAAACAGAATGGAAAAAACCCAAAATTGTATTCACACACTAAATTTTATGATACATGTATTTGGTGATATTGAAGAGAATCTGGCATGTGTATCTGAAATTAAGTTCATAATTTTGATACTACTGTAGGCTACAATAGACTAAGACTTGCATCACGCTATAACATGAAAGGTCTATATTCAAATATAAATAAATCATAAATGAACAAGGAAAGTCTTAATGGTACACCCATATACAGAGGTAAGCCCTACAATTATAGACCAATCTCAGTCATATGCCACATGTTAAAGTCCAAGATCAAATATTACATATCTAAATGAAAATGACCTTTTAAATATACCAATATGCTTTTAGGAAGTACCACTTAACTTTCATGTGTCTTCACTGTTTAATAGATCATCTTCTTAGGCGCGATTTACAAATTATTCCCAACGACAGACACGGGTCAAACACATTTGCTATTGTTATATGACAAGCTCTCCAAACGCGTCTGTGAAATGCTGTTTGGAAGCGCTTAGAGACTTTTTGTATTTTGCGCTCTATAAATTAAAAACCATTAACCATTAACCATTGTTGTTCGAGCCGTTTATTCCATTTGGAATTTGACTCCTACCCATTTCATATGGTTGACTGCATGTACACACTGAGCTGGATCAGTTTGTTGATGTTTGATCGCATGGTCATATCGTCTTGCTTTAGTACATGTCTACAGAGTACAACTGTAGGCTACGTCAATTATATTGGGTACCTCGTGTGTGAATGCGATCAGTGCAGAGTGTGCAAGACTAGTTCGATCAGGCCTGGTCCAATGACACAAACGCGTTTGTCATCAAAAACAATAGAAACAATGGCAAACACTTTAAACCCCGTTCGGACGCGTCTCCGAAAATTGGCTTAGCTTATTAATATTAATGAGGCACGATAATTAGATGATTGCTTTCCTAGACGCGATTGTAATATGTACACAGTTTTTGTCGTTGGGGATAAATTGTAAATTGTGCCTGAATATTCTTCTTTGAGAATATGAACTTCAGGTGCCTGGAAATTGCACCCGACCGCCCTCCGTCTAGTTCACACCTTTATAACTTCAAGGCTGGATTATTGTAATAGCCTCCTTATTGGACTACCAAAGTCTCAAATCTGCAAATTGTAGCTCACTCTTTAAGTGATTTACCTACACCAATATCTTTAAGAAAATTCTACAGTTTCCTTGGGTTGTTTTTATGATCACTAATATTATTTAAGTAAAGATTCTTCGGCCTATTTTATTTTATAATTAACCATGTTCCTTGCTTTTCTGAAATTCATAAGACTTGCGCTATCTTTCAAGCGTTTAAATAATCTCAAATATTTATTTTTTTTCTTTATCTTTTAAGCTGGCATCAAACCATGGTTGATTCCGCTGTTTAATTCTAATCTTTTTTTTTTGGAGCAATATTATCTACAACTTCCATAAATTTGATTTTAAAATTATTCCAAGAGGATTCAACGCAATTTTCATCTATCATGTTTGACCATTGTACATTATTAAGGGATTTAATTAAATTTTCAACACTATATTTTTTCATTGACCTAATATTAATTGTTTTGTGTTTATGAAACTTGACTTTAATAACAGAACGTCTACAGTAAGTCAAACGAGAGCATCAATGATGCAATAGCCCACTTGACAATAGCTGGCAATGTTTAAGTGCTGTCGGTGGGTAGAGGTTGTGTGGAGTGTTGTTATGTGTATTGAGTATAAAGAAAAATGTTTAAAGTTATAGTAGTTGTATGCATCATCATAGACCTTTTTTGTTATGTTCACTTAACAGTAAGAAAAGGTGTGATGTCGTGTACAGTGATATTAAAGGAAATATTGTTGTTGTAAGGTTTGTTGTGTACGTAACTTTTTGAAATATTTTGTACTGTAATTATGAAGATATTTATGTAGAGGTTTATG